CTACCCAGCAGTCACGTCCACTGCGCCTACGCAATGTCGCAATCTGACATTTTTCAACTTCAGGATGGACAAAAGCGTCTTGTCTCTGTCCGGTACGGAGTTCATCGTTTCCTCTGGTAGATGTCATTTTGGGCGTCACTACTAACCGATTTTCAGTTTTCTCCCAAGGCTCGCCTGCAACAACCTGTGCAAATGTGCTGGATTGTCGCGAAGGTCCGGAAGCTCACCCGGAAACGAGATGTACGTGGGGAGGCCAAGCACCCGTTTCCAACGCGGATGCGACCATTGAGCTTCCCGTCACTGCGAGCGAACGCGATCACTGCGCGCTGCGAGGCCGGAGGAAGGTCCGCCGCATCAAGCCATCAGGCGACAATCCCTCCAACCCAATCATGCCGGCAAGGCGCCGTGTACTTATACCAGTGTACCCGCGTCCTGCGCATCCGCCGCCTTCAAGTCCAACTCCTCTATTTGCCTGTGTATGCTGCGTTCTCCTCGCTAGTATACCATAGAGCTCTAGGCGGATGCTCAGTGCAGAGGCACAAATCACCCAGCTTGCGCAGATTGATCGTGAGTGCCTGGTTCCTCTATATTGGCTCTGACAGTGACAGCCTATCTCGTCCCGATAATCCGATACATCCTGTCAGTAAATAACAGATTCGCTGTCGCAGCAACGTGCTTTCTGGTGTACGACACGCTTGTTCATATCCCGGACGAGGTAAGTTCATTCGTTCACCTGTTCTTCAGACGTGATTGACGTGCCTCATGCGCAGATAGAGTTCATCTGGATGTAAGTGTCTGCATGCGAATCTACAGACGTAACGTACTCATGAGATTGTGGCTGCATGGATCCCAGCGGCCAGCAGACATGGACGAAGTGGGCGTATGGCTTCATTAGACACATTCCATACATCGCGCAAGGGTGAGTGCTCGTGCATCCCTTCGACCCAACCGAACGTTGTGTCCGATTTGATAATTCTCGAGCACAGGACGATCCTGTTTCTCGTCACGGAATCTGCTAGTGGCTATGTCTGGCGTCCCGACCAATGTCGCAGTTGGATCGTCTACCAGCTGACTGTGAACGAAGCGCTAACGATCATCGTCGAGGCAGTGCTCATCGTCCGAGGTGTGTCTGCTCGACTCGCGGCGCGCGCATAGTGTGCTGGATTTGACTTCTTTGTTCCCCTATAGTATACGCTATGTTCAGACGCAACGTCATCCTACGGGCACTTGTTTTAATTCTCTTCGTTGCTGAAATAACGGCGATGATAACTGTACTCGCACTCAGTATACCCAATATGGAATTCACTACAAGATGTATCATCGTTCATGCTCCCTCGCTCTTCCCGTCTTATTGGTGAGCATCTAGGAGTCTACCCGCTAATTCCGAGTAATAATGCTCAAACTATTGCCCCTCCTCATGCGCCGTCATCCCTTGAGCAATGTGGCTAATGCACTGCATTTCAGGATTTTCTCATTGGTCTTCGAGACCATCTTATTCGGTCTCACTTTGTACAAGTTCTTCACTAGCATGTCAACACATCACCACAGCGGATCCATATTGTATGTTTTAGCACGCGACGGGACCTGGGCTTATGCAGTTATTTTCAGTAGGTCCTCGTCCGACACTAGCCTAGTCCCTCACCTTTTTTCTCGGGGCAGTGATCATGCTAACGAACACCCTGATGTATCACCTCATCGACAATCCTTTGGCTGGCCTGTGCTTCTTGTAAGTGACTTTCCACCAAGCAGATCCATATGTTCAAAATCGTCCGCCCGTCCAATTAGCTGGGAGCTGTCAGTCATCTCCTCCGCGGTGTGTGGAATGTGGAGCCATACGCTCGTTGCGAATGCTCATCGCTCCCGTTCTAATTACAGGGTGCACATGTTCTCCTCAACTTGCGGCGACTTGCTGTTCAAGACCGCCAAACCAAACGTTCCTACTGGGCTACGGGCAATTCAGAAACAATCGAGTTCTCATCGCAAATGACAGGCGGCTTCGATCTACACGCTGTGACTGAGGATCCTGGTGAGAGGTTGGATGTCGAGCTAGATGAAATGCGTATTCAAGACGTTGCATAAATCAAAGACGTGTTATCAAACTTATATACTTTGTATTTCTATAGATTACTATTGTATTGTACCTGGAGTCTTCGCACCGGGTTCTAATTGTAGTAATTTATTGCGGCAAATAGAATAAAGGTTTCCTAAATAGACGATATCTTAGTAGGTATAAGTGCGGTGTCTAACCAGTTGACCAGCCAAGCGTAAATACACCATGCGGCGAGCTGGACTATTCATGTACGATGAAATAAGAACTAGCAATGACACTCGGCGAACTTATCGCCCTGACATGGGCTGTGGACAAAGCGATTGCTGCTGATCATGAACATGCGTGTCAACAATAAACGAATAGGAGTTGTGCTTCCGTTGTTGAGTCTACTTCTGTTTCCAGATACAACTACTCAATGGTGTAGTATTTGTCATTCTCAGCCGCTTCAAGCATGTATAATAGGAAGCCGTCAACAAACGTGATTGCATTTGCGTGGATCTATTGGAGTATAGTCAGCCAGAAAGAGAGAAGCTGTGGTACCACAAGCCGCCCATCTACCCTTCGTCCCACGTTCTGGGTTAATCGTAGAGGAACATGAATGCGCAAATATTATATGTGGGGCACTTCACCCACGCAGGGAGATGTAACGGGTGGACTAAGGTTGCACGACCAGCTTTCCACATCCGATCACCGACTTCTTTTGTACCCGTGTACCGTTGGTTTTAGCAATATTATTTCAAGGATTGAAACAAGTATTCAGCTGCCGAATTATGTTCAAATCAAACCGAGACTCACCGGAAAATGAATTCCCGTAGCTTGGATAAATATAGTCTTCACACACTCTCGCATATATTGGGGGATCCATAGACATGCGATGCAGCGCTCCTCAAAATTATGGAGCTCACCTTGATTCTCAGATCCACCCGTCCAACCCAATAAAGGCCGCGCCATAATCGACCGTGCCACCCACGGAAAGCAAGGTGGGTGCATGAAATCAATCGCCTCGAACAGTCTGGAAGCTGGCGGCCTTCCAGGAAATATCGAGCTCGACCAGACAGCGAGCTGAGAAGTGGTGAAGTTTCCGTACAAATGCCGGGGTGCGGCGGCATACCTGCGCCATGATTCGATGGTGCATTTGTCCGTACTGTGCCGCCGCGCTCATGGAGATATCTCCTTCATTTCGTGTATAGAATCAATGAGACCTACGTTCGATTTCAATGTTCTTGCGCCATTAAAAAGGCCTAAGTCGTGATGTCTGATTAATGCTAGCACGTATGAGAGCGGCCGTAGAAAGCTGGCGTGGACGTGGCAATGGTGGCGGGGTTGGCTGAATGTTGTGGTCTCGCCGCGTGACTGGTTGTTGCTTTACTAGGTCGCGCCATGTTTGACGAGCAAACAACTGAGGATAGCTCTGTATATATTCCTTATCCCATCTACTTGCTGAGCATCATCGAAACTGCCGAACTTTTTTTTTTGTGGCGAACGGTCAGATACGGATATCCGAAGCCTACAAGAGCGAGTTGAAGAGAGTATCTGCTCTCCTCGCAGGAGACTAGGGGAACGATCCGCAGCTGGCTTCCGTGATCCTGCCAACAACCAAAGCCAGTGGTAATTGAGGCGAACGTGCTGTTCGTGGGCTGACATCAAGTCTGTAAGTCATGCCGATATACCTCGCCTTGACATTGTACAGCGTCTTCGGGGAAATTTGGACGGTGGGATCATCCATCGGTGTTCATCAAGCTTGCCACAATCATTCGCTGGAAATTATGGGACGTCTTGCCGGGCGGATGGACACTAAGCTGTCTATGAATGATTGCAACCCAACGGTATGTTATACGTTAACAAAAAGAGCATACCGCAGTCTGTCTTATTTCCTGGCTCGCAGGAATCATTGATCGACCCTCCGGATTATCATTGCATTGAGATTTTTGTGGATATATATTTCCAGCTTGACATTTGCTGGAGGCATTTTCATAAGTCTACCACTCAACCCTTAGAGCAGAGTTACCTTAAGTGGTGCTATGTGGAGCAAAGCACACCACTTGAAGATAGGAAAGCACCACTCGTGCAATCCCCCAATCCATCATTGTCTGCATCGTCATCGTGCTTTCAGATGCAGATGGAGCACCAGGATGTTGAACATTAACACGAGCATCTTTCCCGCCTATGATAAGCCGCTTCAGTCAGGCAAATACTTTGTGAAATTCGTACCAGTGCTCGCGTCTGGAGCAATACTCCCCAGTCCATTCAACATATCTTCTGGTCACCACTCCAGGTGGAGTATAATGGTACTGCTGCAGTCCCTCCGCCAGCACCAATGTGCATTATCCACCCAGTGGGCCGACCTCGGTGGCGAGAAGCTCCCTGGGAATCTGCCGAGAAATGTGCAGAATCTTCTTGCAAAGGTAACATTCCAAGCATCCACAATAGTAACTGTGTTGATGCTTGCGCCCAGAATCATACCTGCGGTCAATGACGAGAGAGTCAGAGAATGTCCCGAACCGCTGGGCAGACCGTACCGCAGATACGCTATGTTTCTTTCTCGCATAGTGGCAAGGCGTTGGAGCAGCTGTTTGTCATCTTGGTCACCAAAGTCAGATTCGCAAATCGACTGCGACTCATTGTTGAAGGTTCTACTGTCTGAGGCTTCCGGACAGGGAAGTGAGGCAGACAGATAAATTCACGAGCCACCTCAAAATGAAGCTGTGTAATGCGTAGCATCAGAGAAATTTTCTCTTGGTGTGGTGCGACAATGTGATTCGCATTCTGGACGGCGTATCTCTCAACCGGGCTGACTTATTCGTCGGACGGTGCATAGAAAGTGCGGAGGTGTGCGGCGGCAAGACTGCGGCATCCGGCGACGGTTTTCCAGTCACATATGCGACACGCAGCTGTGCCTGTCAAATGGCCAGTGCCCCGGCATTTGGTGTTGCTCAAATCTTCGCGCCGGCCGTCGCCCAGTCTATACGACGCCCAAATGGTTCACATCGCCCACATGATGCACGATAAACATTGGAGCTCATATCATCGATTTTCTTGCGTCTTTCACCATCCTGTTGCGACCTTCATCCGGTCTTCGACATGGACTATTTCAACTTCAGCACACTCCTCCTGTTCGGAGACCAGGCGGATGCAGAGCAGACAGACGATATTCAATCGGGAATAGAGGAGATGATGCATATGCGTACACCGGTGCGAGAGTTCGAACTTGCGGCAGTTCGACCAAACTCACAATTCATGTTTGATCCAGATAGGCACACCAGCTGAATATCCTCGAGCCCAAGGCCACGTCACCATCTCCGTATCGACGACCTTCCATCCTGATGCCCGCATCGCTGGCGCGTTTCCTGACCTCATACTGGTCTCTTCCGACCAAGTTTACTTCCACGTCCATCTGCATCGTATACTTGAAGCGTCGGAGAATGGGTTCGCATCCTTGTTGCCTCCAAAATCCCAGGATGATGGATTCCCGCCCGCCGTCTATGTCTCCGAACCTGCAGAGGTGCTAAACGTCATTGTGCATACGATCTACGACCTCTCCGCGGCCCAGTTTGTACCCTCGTTCGAGACCGTATCTGTTGCACTGAACGCCATGGTCAAATATGGCATTTCTCCCGTGCGATTCATCACGCCTGCTATGCCGCTCTACGCCCTCATCCTCTCGCTTGCCCCCCATCAACCCATTGAAGCGTACGCGCTTGCGGCAGCTCATGATCTATACGGCCTCGCGGTGGCAATCTCGCCACATTTGCTCTCATTTACTCTTTCGTCCCTGACGGATGAACTTGTCGTGCGCATCGGGCCAATCTACTTAAAGCGCTTATTCTTCCTGCACAGCATACGAATGGAGGCGCTCAAGAAACTCCTGCTGCATCCGCCGCGCCCGCATCCCGAGACGGTGAACTGCTATGGCGAGCAGCAACTTCGCCTGACACGTGTATGGGCACTCGCTTCTGCCCATCTTGTATGGGATGCAAGACCTAGTGCGTAGTCTGTTTTGTCTTTATGCATGGTACGTCGGCATCAGGGTTCACGCCTCTCTTGTTCTTTTGATTGTTTACAGACATATCTACGCATCTCCTCGATGCGGCGCTCCGACCGCTTGAGGCAGAGCTGTCGTGCCAGCTTTGTAAGCTCGCGCTAAGAGAGCGAGTCTCAGTGCTCGTCGCAGAATGGTCTAATGTGAAGGTGAACCTCACTACTCACTTTTAAGCAGACGTGTTTTGCGAGTCGTGCTAACAGATTTCTCAGAGAACCATCTGACGCCCACTTCCAAGGCACTTTGAAGGCCTAACAGTGGCACCATTCCGACCCTTTGGGTTGTGTCTTGTTCGTATCGAATTGATCTGCGCAGACCTCGTTCAACTGGTCAGCCTGTCCTAATTTGTTGTACCTGTGTTGTTTTCGTATCATACCGCGACTTCTCTGTTTTGTTTTTTCAATGTACTCGATCATTTATATATATCCGGAATTTGAGAGCCTGAGACTGCAAACTTCGACAGAATATGCGGATAGGTCGAGAACAGTCTAGTGATAAACTGCGATTCAAGAGGGGTTGTCCCTATGTTGAGATGATAGCGCGCCTGCGCGGCGTATCTCTTCCGTTCTCCTCTGGCGGTCAGCCCTGAATCGTTGCTGTAGATTTCGTTCATGTGTTGTCGGAACTCAGTCGGCAATGATCTTCCCCAGGCAGTTCGATCCTTGGAGCACCCGTTTGCAACGGTCGAAATGGACTCAAACTCGGTCTGATGGTACACACCGTTGCCAACTCAGCCTGGTAGAACAATCTGCTGAACAGCTGCGCGGTGGACAGGGTCAACGGCCAGGGTGCTAACCGGCAACATTTAGAACTCAAAATCTGGGATACGATGACCTCGCATCCAGTGTCATTGAAGATAGGCCATTTGCATTCACTCGCTGTACATACTTACCACTATGCGGCTGTAAGTAGCGCGACAAATGATCTCTCCACCAACCTCCTGCTGTGGTAAAGCAGGTACCAGCCTGTGGCCAGAGATCCCCATTCGGCTCTTGTGGGATCGAAACTGAGTCACAGGGACATAGCCGTCTTGCGCTGTAGCCTGCGCCATAGGCCGTGTTTCGGCGATCCAGTCAGTATCAGACTTGTGCCGGCTTGCACGTTCGGCTCTTTACTATGAGTCTATGACAGATTTTCACCTCCAATATTGCATCTTGAACTCATGGCGAAACCCAAAGATGCACTATCAATCGTGATGCTCTCATCCTCACTCCCGCTTCACTCATATAGCTCATGGACTATTTTGATTTCAGCACTGCATCCTGTTGTTTGTAGATAGACAAGAGGGTTTCCACGAAGATGAACGACCCTTTTCAGGGATACAGGAGAGATTATGGACAATATTCGAATACTCCGGGTGGGATTGCTTCGTTGCGATTAAGTGAACCCTAGTACCTAATCTTCGCCCTCATCCTCTTAGGTGGGCACGCCACCCTGATCATCCTCAGGCTTATAGCCAGCCCGACTTGAGCCCAGCATCTCAATATCAACGACCTTCCACTCAGATTCCCCAATTGGTGGTGCGTCGCCAGTCCTCATACTAGTTCAGTCGGATGGGATTCATTAAAACGTCCGCTTTTTGCGCATGCTGGGCGTGTCGGACAATGGAATAACCATTGAGAAGCTGCTAAATCTTCTCAGGAGTGGCCACTTCAAGCCTCATGCCTTACGTAGGGCTAACTTTGCCGCTCACTTTATAGAATCAATCATGTGGTACTCCCCAGATTCCATTGCTTTCTTCACTAACGCTACTTATTATCCATTACGATTCCAATCTAGTCCTGTGCTACTTCATGACAGTCATTGCATTGAATAGTTTCCTCGCCCTTCAATTCGACTGGATGTCTGTGCGCGCATCTGAAAGGACATTATTGGTCTGATAGAAACAAGGCTAATATGCATCTTTGATACAAGTTACGCGAATCGATGATTTCTCCCAACAGGCAAAAGCTACATATTCCGGTAGCGTCCTTCCGTATCTTCCATGATCGTGGATCACGCGAATCACTGACAGTCTTTCTATTGCTCGTAGAGGCACGCCGAATTCATGATGGGCAGGAAGATTCCAGGGACTTCTGTGTCCTTTGTACGCACAACTAGGCTTTGCTCAATTCGCCCTGCTATCGCTATCAAAAACTATCTCTAGCCCCATACATGAGGCCCCAGGTAACTCGATGATACAGACGTATACTCTGAATCGTCTTGATTAGATCCTTCTACCCATCTCCAATGGACTGAGCTTCACGCGCACGCTGAGCCAGTCTATGTTCTCCGACACCTATTATAAGAACTTATCAAGGGCAGATTATGCCTCGCACACCATTAGCACAGACTACACAGAGGCGAATACCGATGTTTTGGGCTCGTTTCGCTTCATGAATGCAGGTTGATATGTACTCCCACTAGGTGGGCAGTGGACGCCTCTAAATACCTTCAAACTGACCCAAATATGACCTTTGAGGATCACTTGTCTGAGGTTCAATCTCGAACAGCCAATGGTCGAGACAGATTTGTATCATCGGCTACTATCGGCCACCATTATTAATCCTCCAGATCAGTGACGTTGTAATTTGAATGCCCCGCTTCGACGGTGCGCACGCAGCCCGATCTTGTCGTGATGCCGTATAACCAGGCTTTCACGTTCACATATCCAAGCCTTTCTCTGTGTCGGAGAACGCACTCGCGGGGCACACGACCCGATAATCTCGCCGCTGCAACATCTACGAGAGCTCGCACGGCGCATAGGGCCACTTTGGTGTCTTGGACACGTCTGGGCACGAGACCAGCGACGGCTATTCTTGCTGCGTAAACGGCCGGATGAACGTTCTGAATGGATGTTCAATTCCACCTGCCGCGTGCCAGGGTGGACCGCAACAGTGAGCGGCGGCGCCCCTTGATGTAAACATGGGCACTCACCTCCACATAGCTCGTACTGTATGAGTTGTTACAAGACATGATGCTGAGTGCGTCCACACCTCCTGATTGATTTGATCAACAATCGAGTTTGATGTCCGTATCGCCAGGTCTGTCAACTGATCTGTTGCAAGCTGGACTTAACTAACATGAGGAGGACTATCATGTAAGCTATGCAAACTAGCGTTACTCCACTAGATCGCAGGACTAGTTAGGGAATGGGCGCCGCTGTGAAAATGGAGGATGCGGTATCATTGAAACCTTCTCTGAGTTGAACAGACCCAGGCAGTGCGCCGCGTAGGGAATGATCTAGACTACCGCCTATAGGGATCACCGCAGTACTCAGGAGGCGCCGAATCCCGCCGTGAGAGGGAGTCTCCTGAATTTTGCCCGAGTTCCAATCGAGTTCCGATCCTCTAGTTCCATGGCAACACTTAGAGGGGCGCCCCGATAATACATGATTAGCGCTCACTTAAAATTTATTTTCCTGTAGAATACTATATTATTTACATGTTAATGTCAAAATTAAATAAATAAACAATAATCATACTCTCGAAATTAGTACTGCACCAAAATTGATGTCCTCCGAGTTACAGACAGTTGATAATTTAGACCCATCGACAGCATGACTGTGAGTGCTGCCGAGCAGCGAGGCCGTTCATAATTTCTACTTGTGAAGTACCGTCATATTGTAGGCACGCTCAAATGCACGCAGAACCCACTCATACAGTCTTTGTACGAATTGAGAAATCCCGCCTTGACATGGAGATTGGTGACACAGCCGAATGACAGACTGAGAATCCAGGTCAGGTGAAGTGCATGAGGAAGGCCTGGCGGTCGATATATAGAATTTGGCACCAGAAGTAAGTAGGCGCTATTGCGGTCCGAGTCGGCGGTATCGTGGGATGCTACGGCCTACGAGCCATCCAGGCGGAAAGTTCAGCACGCTCGTTTGTTACACCGGGCAGCGGGGATGTTCGCCAGCACACACGATATGCATGTCCATCAGAATACGGCAGTGCTGCCGGCAGCACCCTCATGGTGCCTTGCATCCAGACGTGTCGAAGACGTTGACAGCATATGTCTGGGTGCAGTAAGTGTGAGTAAATATTATGCCGCGCTCTCGCAGCCAAGATGACCAACTTGGATGTGTCGGCAAAACATGGCCATCGAAAAGGCTTGCGCGGTGCGCTGCGAGTAAGAAATAGTCTAAGAGCAGCCTCTAGGCCGCGTTATAGTGATCGTGCTGAATTTGCAACATGAAAGAATGTCGATCGCGGATCAATGGAAGCACAGAGCGGACGGACAAACTTGAGGATCGAAATATTGGACTAGACAGGCAACGGGACGAAGTGCTAGCCAGCAGAAATAAGAAATCAGGTAGTAAGCCTTCAACCCTTTGGATGATTAAAACCGATGTGCTTACTGAGCGGTCAGGATGAGGCGAGACCTGGGTGAGACTGAGAAGTCGGAATCTTTCACATGGCTGATGTCGAGGCGTGTGTACGAGATCCGCAAGATTCCGAAGGAATGGTACTCGGTGTAGCGGGCTAAACAGTTTTCCCGATAAGACTGTATCAGAGGACCAGAAAATTCGGGAAAACAAGTCGCCCCGAGTATGATTGTCGGTTTCGATTCGAGACAAGTTTTGTATGGACCACAAGTAGGACCGCAACGATCACAAATCCGAGCAAGCAGCGACTCAATGACTAGCCAACGAACCATACTCAAACATTGGTGGAGATAGGGTATGTACACATTAGAATAAACTACAACTGTAGATCACTTGTTCAGATCTGTCGACGTGAATCGGAGAACGGGTCAACTCACCCATAACATTAAGTGAAAAAGCAAACTATAAGCCCAGAAACAAATCCTAACCAAGCTCTAAGCAGTGGGTCCAGGTATCCGCGCCTCTCGCCAGTGCTAGAATTCCCTCGAGAAATTGCGCACGACCCAATCAACTGCCCTCTCAACTGTCTCCTGGGGCTCGGGGCTGTATAGATAGTATGCTGTCCGGTGCTTCACGAAGATAGCGTATTTGAACAGGCCAATTATCGTGAGGATGAAAACGATGAAAACGAAGCTAACTGCAGCGCGAGCATTGGTGTGAGTAACTATGTACGTGACTGCCCACGGCCATTGCAGTGCAAGACACGTAGCATTGGAGACGTACACACCAAGAACTTCTCCCAAGGTTCAAGCGCGTAGGTCCCAATCGTGCTCTCGATGACCATGCGCTTCCGCCAGATGAGGGCGGCGGTGGGATTCTTGGGTGGACGATAGGAGAGGGTGAGGCCGAAAAGTGCGTCTCGCGTTGATGGTTGTCGCCGCCAGGCCACGGGCGAGATGACAGATTCCTCTGGGGATAACATGGGCGTCGAGCACGAAGGCATGTCAGGAAATGGGGGAGGCGCAAGGTAGTAGGGGAGGTAAACGGGTGTATCGTGGGCGGGCTATCCGGGTAGCACAGGAAAAAGACGCGAAAGTGGCCATGAGACAAACCTGGGATCGGTATAAATATCCGGACAGGGAATCCGACAAAGACATGGCGAGAAGTCTCTCATGATAACCCGGCTAAATGGAGGTCAATGCTCTGTCGGAGTCGGACTGAGGTATATTTAGCCTCAACTTATCGGTCACGTGACCCTCCCCTCTCCCTACTGTCTGCCTTTTATTTCAAGCCGGGCCCTTGCCTCCGTCTTCCGACTCGTTCGTGCGCCGTCTTGTCCTCGCCTGCTCATACCTGCAAACCGTCTCGATTTTCTGCCCTCGCTTGCAACCCAAGGCAACTTCGCCATCACTTTACCACCATGTGAGGCTGTGAGCGGGCGCCGCGAACGTGATATACCGCGCAATCTGTTCACACTGTACATGTGAAGCTTCGTGCGCACACACTTCCAACGCGCAAACACGCCTGGAAGGTGAGTCTCCTCGCTACAATACAACGCCCATTCCCCGCTACCTTGCCGTAACCAGCAAAACTGTGTGTTCCTCAAGGTTGTCCAGCTGGTCAGTAAGATCAATCTTACGCACTGCCAAGCATGATTAGTGCGCGCTTTGCGTCCCGGCTGTGCACCAGGAGGCATCGTTTACTATTTTCCGTGGTTGCAGTGACGCATCGGGATGACATTTGACATTTTCTCCTTAGTGCGTTTTTGACCGCACTGCGAGGTCGGGAACAACCCGGAATCTAACCCGACCATGCTTGAAATGGAATCATTCAATTCGTTACACGTGATTTTGGTCTATCACCTCAATTTGTTGTCCGCGAGCATTAAATACACGATCCCGACATGACTGCTAGTGGGCTGGTCATATTTCCTCTTGCTCGTCACCCTCACTGCTTTTCAATCGGCATTGGTTCATGACATCTACTGCTACAGTCTCGACATCAATTAGAACTTCGTCGCTATTGCGGATAAGTGTGGACAGGAATCTTCGATTTTTTCATGCTGCTTATTCTGACAGTTCATGGTTCAACTATTTTGCCTCTTATCCGTTTGGATTTCTGGGCGCCCGTACCGGATCGTCGATCTTCTTCGACCTTCAAATAACAGATAAGATATGCTCATGAGTCGCAATCTGGTTGATGCCAATGGCAAGTGCCTATTTCGACCAGGGCTGAAAGTCTTGGCCGCCTCTGAACTCTGTGCGTTTAGACCTACCATCGTTGGACTTACTTTCAAGAAAGAGGGCTATCAAGCAATCATATCTCGTGTATCTCCGCGTCGAGCTGTCGTTCTCTGGTGTACCAGCTTTGCACAAGCTCTAAAAATCTGAACTGGCAGAGATCTCAGCATGAATCGCCTGATCCAAACGATCCCAGTGAGAAACGATCCAATCTGCGAAGATCCGAATACTTCAGCGACTGCGGAAGGGGGAAGTGTAACCACATGTGATATACTAGAGTTGCCACAACAGATAAATCTGAGCTCCAGTAAGACTCGCTTTCATGAATCTGATTAATTGACTCTGTGGTCAGCTTCCGGTTTGCGTACACTCAATTTGCAGGTAGTGAACATGAGCTCAGGGCCTCGGTTGGCATTTGGCACGAAAGAAGGGATGATCAGTCCATCTGATAATGGGCTGAAAGTACGCATGAGAGCATTGTCAGGCGTTTTGAATGTCATTTGAGTTCCAGCGAGACGACGATTTCATTCCTAGAGCGACAAGTTGACGCCATTTCGTGAGGCACATGCAGACGTTGTGGTAAATTTGCCTCTCGTGGCGCAAAATTACCGTCTTCTTAGCGGTACCAACACCTATCCCATTGAATGCTCTACCCGTAAGCTTTTCCACCAATTTAGGCCCACATACTGAATACTCAGTAGAAATGCTCACCACTCCACTTCAACGCTGAACACGAGAGCTCGGCTTCCCCAGATTCGTGAACGTGTCAGACTTCAAGCGCGATCACAGTGCAAAGATAGCAAGCCATTGCAGGGCCACTGTACTCAAATGCGTATCAAGTGCGCGGCAACCATGAGTGAAGGTATGTACCTCGTGACACTCATGTCATGGATTTGGAAACGATCGCTACAAAGCAGCAGCATAGAGAACAAGACAACATCACGAGTAGAATCCCGATCCGAATAGTGCTTCCAAATTGAACTGGTGTACCTGGTGCGATAATTCTGGGCACGATAGGTTGCCGGTTGTGGAGCACAACCTCGGACCTGTAAGTGTCATAATGAAGCGAACGGTAAGCATAGTACTCTATCCTAGTACCCGCTTGGTGCCAAATCTGACTTCTTGAATACCTGCGGGTGCTCCAATCATGTCTTTCAGACACCACACTAGTGTGCTTCCGTAAGTATAAAAGGGCTGTACGACCGTCCACTTTCCTACATTGACCTTCAGTATCAGGGTTTTCCCGCAACTGCCTCCTCGTTTTAATAGGCCTCTTCAGTCCGGCACTTACATCATCAACAAAGTCGCTTCCGGCGAAGGCTCCTATGTTGGCCGCAACATAGTTGAGGATTTATCCCTCCTGCCCAAAAGGGTTGTCATCCACCCGCCCGGCGTGGTAGCTCAAGCATCACAGGCAAGTGGTAATAGAATGCAAGGAATTCTCGTTCCTTGCTTGTTCCGCGAACACTCATGCTGGCGATGACTTGAAGTGGGAAATTATAGACCTCGGCGACGGTCGCTACAAGCTTACCGTCGGTGGTGCGCCCACCAGCGAAAAAGAGGACCTAGTCTGGGCTCTCTTACTCGAGCAGGAGCGAGCAAAAGTCAGTCTTCTCCAGCTGATAGTTAGTCTGGGATCTGATCGCGTGCGTCCTCAGTATCGAGAAAGCCCACAGATCTACAGGCTAGGTAAATTCTATGAAGGATGATGATGGTTATCCTCCCTAAATATACTATGCTATCCGTTAAACGCAGCTTGACCATCGACTTATCCGCCGAGACTAGGTTGAATGTAGGCCGCTCATTGCGACGATGAGCTTACCGCATCGGTTTCCTTCTACTGAGCTTTTCAAGTTCACCGCCGTTGATGTATGATGGAATCCATGGTTTGTCATGCTAATTTGATATACAAGTGTTGCAATGTATACGAGTCTTGTAAGAATAAATGAATGAGTGAATGCTGCATTTTGTGCCGTCTGCTACCTGCATGGCTACATTATCAGCAATGATGTTCAAACATTCAAGGACAATATGTAGAGCCCCCGGTAGTGAGCTGCGATAATGTAATCAGTCTCGTCAAAGTTCTCCTCATTGATTGAGACGTCGAGACAGTCGAGAAACGAATGTAATGCGTCTGACAGGACTCTAGTTTGAGACGAGTTTGCCTTCACGCTATACGAAAAGAGATAATAACACATCGATGCGATATTAAAGATATAAAGATACAGTGCGAGAATCGAAATTACATGGACATGATGCCGAATGGACACAGAAGGGTGTGCCAGCTAAAAGTTACAAATTCTGTCTCGTCCATGTGATGGGCTTTCTATGGTGCGATGAGTCTACTGTTCCAAACCGATAAATACGTGCTGGAGGGTGGAGCTATCCCTTGTTATAATCAGATGCGGACGACAGGATGCTTTCAACACACCTCGTTCAGAAATAGTCATGGCCACTTGCATCCGGGCATTATTCCTACGCTTTCCCTGCCAGTGCTCCCTTCCACGCTCCGTCGTCCATATCCCCTTTCGCCGCCTTCATAAAGAGCAGCCCGAGCGTCTCGAAGCACTCTCTAGCCCGCTTCTCGTTCGTCTGCGCCTTCTCCAACCGGCCCTGAATTTCACGCATCGCTCGCCGTGCGCCCTCTCTCGTCTCCTGTGCATCTCGTCTAACACGTCGTACCTCGTCCTCAACATCTTTCCGCGTGCAACGCTCCTCTTCTGCGCGCTCCTCAGCACGCCGGCGGCTCGCCATCTCCGCTTTGCACTGGTCCACCGCCGCATTCTCCATCCGACGTGATGACGCTAGCTTTCGGGATGCATCCTCTAGCTCCCGCTCAAGCCGTTGTCGTATCTGCCGCTCGGCATGCAGCTCGTCCCCCAGCTTTCGCTTCGCAGTCCGAGTCAAGATATGCTCTTTCTGCAGCTCGCGTAAGGTTTGAATCTCACGTTCCAGAGACTCCGCAGGAGGGCAGCTAGAATTCCCTTGCTCCGTATGCGCAGATGTTAGATTAGTTGTACTGGTCAAACACTGGCGATGATCGCCCTCTGCAGCAGAAGGGATCGCAGAGACATCAATGGATGACTTCGTTGCCTCGTCATGCAATGCAGACGTAGTGTCTGCCTGAGGGATGTCTGTCCCATACACCCGCTGGATCATCAAGGTTGCCCTCTGGGTGTAACTTTGACTCTCCTGAGTTGGTTCGTCCTCTGTGCCGTCTCTCCTGCGTGCTTGAAGCGCTAAGTCGCGGTAGCCACACGCCAGCATGAGGAAGGCGGGCTTCAACTCAAACGGATGTAATCCGACTGAAGTCGATGTCATCACTATCAACAAAAATGCGAAGATTCATGAGCTATATGCGCATATATTAGCCATAATCACGGCATACCATCAATCATTGCTTCCACAACAGCGAGAGCTGCGCTGATATTGCCCCTACTGCGATAATGCCCGGCTACAATCATCCATTTATCTCGCTCACCACTTCGCGCCGCTGTGGCCTTGAGCACAGCGATAATTCCTTCTGGGTCGTCCTCGAGAGCATTGAGTTCACAATTCACGCGTTCCCCTTGAAATGTCAAGATGATCGATGGCGAAATGGACTGTGGAAGAATGAATGTGCGAGTTTCCGTGCTAGGCGCGCACAGAGTACGATCACTAGACCCATCAGGAGTTTTGTTTGACAAAGATGATGAGGCGGCTGCAAGGGCAGGAAGCCGTTCCCAGGGACGCATAGCATAGGGTGCATCGTGTTTGCTCTCAACGGGTAGTAGGCACGATTGAGCTGCAGCATGCGGCGGTGTGCTAGGAAACGATGCATCTATCTGGCTTTTAGACTGGGCTGAAGGGGGTATATTGAGGATCATTCGGTCAGGTTCCAACGCTCTAGGAATGCAGATTGAATGAGGTGTATCTGGAAGCTCGTCAGTAGAAAGCCGAGGTGAGAGTTCAAAGGCGTTCCGAGGAAGCGAAGAGGTCGATGCGAGAGTCGATGACTCCAAAAATGAAGAAGCGACGCGGTCCATCGGCAGGATGGGTGAGAGAGAGCGGCGGTAGCTACGATACTTAGGTCTTTTGAACGCGTTTTCCTTTTCATTGTCCAACCTCTCAGCCTTGAATTGCGTGCGATGAGAATACGAGTCGGGATGTAGGCGCGTCAGGCGAGAAGGTGAAAGGCCGCCACAGTGCACGAATGTTGGCGGGCGATGGCCTTTTTGAGTATTCACGCTTCTGCCTGGCGAAATCTATCTTAGACTACAATGTATCACAAATCTCGCGATACTCACTTCTGTGATAGTCATATTGTCGCTTCTGAGGGACGCTGACATGTTCTCGGGCTTCCTCCTTTATCTGTTGGTTTGCCTGAGGGGCAGTGGGAATAGGTGGCTGTATGATGGAGTTGAAAGTCGCGGTAAGCTGTTGGGAAAATACGACGATTTGTAACTTGATGTCGGACACCTGGAGGGCACGAGCACGCTTCACACATCCCTCCTCGGCGAACTCGATGAAATAGGTTGCGCTAATACTTGTTCCTTGCGTATTCGTGGGGTATATGCCAAGTCTGATGCATATATGAGTCATTCAGTACCATACCAATTCATGATATTAAAGCCGAACATTTTACCGCACTGGGAGAATGTCCCTTGTATATCGCCTAGAGGCTTGGTCGTCTCGATGTGAACAACGCGATGAATACGCTCATCATTCATGGCAAATATGGAAGATAAGTGGGATAGCCTGAACGGATGTAAGAGCCAGGAGAGGAGGGAAGAGATGGCAAAGTGCGACGAGCGTATCAGGGATATTGCTTACAATCTAGTAGCCCGACATATTATCTTCTTAGGAGAATCGCGGAAGCGTGCCCTAGGACAGGACCCGTCGTCGGCACGTCACTCGCCCTGGAATGTTCCGTGTTGTCTGCCACTCGCACCTACCACATAATGCAGTTGGAGACGTATCATTGCAACGCCTTATACTCCACTATGATGAGACTGGTATGCATCGTCCACCTATAAAGCACTGAGTTTTTCACACCAACGAGAGCTGAGAGTGAGATATAACACGGGCACATGCATAAGCCCGTAGCTTCTCCCATCCAACTTCCGAGCATACCGTCGACTACGATCAGCAACGTCGACACCAACAATCGCACCGACCTTCAATGACTCAGCGAATAAGCTTCAATGACAACATTTAGACTCAACGAATAAAGCATCAGTAAAAGTACTACAACTCAAAGCGACACGGAAAGCTTAAGTTCGCGTCGCGTCGCGTCACGACACTGTGGCACGCGCTGCATATTCACGTGACTTGAGAACTATACAGTAGTACCCGGCAAGCACCGTCTCGCCCAAACCTTGTTCCTCAGTGGCGGGACAACAAGCTCAAACAAGTCTCCGGTGAGTGCAGGCGGTATCCTCGCCATCGTCGCAAGCGATCCATACTCATCATCACTCCGCCAGGCCCTCGCCGTTCCTCAAGCCCTCAAGCCCCCTCAACAAAATGGCCGCAGTACAAACTCTCCCCAAGGACATTTCGAAGCTCGGCCAGGAGGTCAAGCTTTTCGGAAAGTGGGAAACACAAGAGTGCGTATGAACTATATCGCACGCGGAGTAGATGCTGATAGTCGCTGCTCGCGTTGTGCGTCTGCGCGCGGTGTTGCTGAAATGGGAATAGTGTTGAGGTGAAGGACATCTCCCTGACCGACTACATCCAAATCCGCCATGCCGTCTACCTCCCTCATACTGCCGGCCGTTATGCGAAGAAGCAATTCAAGAAGGCGCAGATGCCCATCGTCGAACGATTGGTTGACAGGTATGCACTTTAATTTCTCCGCTCACGGAGCATCCTGTAGTACATGATGTTTATGGAGACGCGCCCATACAGTCTTATGATGAAAGGCCGCAACAACGGCAAGAAGCTCCTCGCCGTTCGCATTGTTGCGCACGCATTTGAGATCATTCACCTCCTCACCGACCAGAACCCCATCCAAGTGCTTGTTGACGCGATCGTGAACACTGGTCCGCGTGAAGACTCCACGCGTATTGGTTCGCAGGGTACTGTCCGTCGCCAAGCCGTCGATGTGTCTCCTCTCCGGAGAGTAAACCAGGCTGTTTCGCTGCTGACCACCGGTGTACGTCGTTCCTGTCCGCCTTCTTCCGCGATTTTCCCGCTCACTGGATTGACGCTGTCCATTTGACAGACCCGGGAGTCTGCATTCCGCAACGTCAAGTCGGTGGCAGAGTGCTTGGCAGATGAGCTCATCAACGCAGCGAAGGGTTCATCGAACTCGTATGCCATTAAGGTATGTCGGTATAATACATACCGGATTAATAACGGTGGTGTTAATATCATCTGTGTTGTGTAGAAAAAGGACGAGCTCGAGCGTGTTGCGAAGTCCAACCGGTAAAAGCTTCTTGTATCACACACCGGACGGTCGGGGGGAGCTATGGCTGGCTACGTATATGGGTGTTCTGCAATTTTCCGCCTTCTCTACTATTATCATGACGCGCCATGTTACCCATATGAATGCTATGCGATGCTCTCAACGCCTGGGGTTGTTGTATACGAGTGTGCCGGGCAGCGTTTGCAATGACCTCCATATTCGACCTGCCGTATTACATTGATATGATCCCGGACCGTGCGGAAGGTGATATCATGGCGATAAGACGGGTCAATCACCGTCCGCTTCTACTGCCGCAACAGTCTGGCCTCCATTCTCGACCTTCTATTGATTATTGTCTTTGCCTTTGCCTAGAATTCTGTATGTGCTCTCATAACACTTTCTCCTGAACCTAATGTTAGCCAGAAGACCGTCTGCTTCAAGTACAAGGATACCCTGCGTCCAATTCCGTGCGGGTGGCGGTCCGCCAGATTTCACCGCTGCAAGCCTCGTTTGCATTGGCAGCCCACGACGTATGCCAATCACCCAAACCGTTCCTGGTGCGAGTCTGCTTGTTCCCGTCAAGACGCCCAGGCAGCTGGTGACAGCAACTCGGCAGGCTATCTTAATTTGTGAGTCCCGTGGACCCTGTTTGGTGCATCTCTAATGCTATTAGAGGATCTATGACAGTACAGGGAATCCTGACTGGCGGGCCTGCCTGCCAGACCCCTGCGCCTGATCGGCCAGTGGCATCCCGTCTGCTCGTCAGCGGAGAACGGGGACACAGGCCGAAGTGGAAGACGGACGGTGCGGGCCACGGCCACGGCCAGACGGGACAAGACAGGACGGGGCAGCCTGGGCTGGGCGGGCTGGGCCTCAGTGATGCAGGTGCCAGATGATGCGGAGCGCGTCGTGCATGGGGAAGTCGTCCAGCGCGATTTGTCGCGCGGGGCCTTTCCGTATGTGGAAGCGAGCACCCACGCACACGCAGGGCGCACGGTGCTGTCTGGCGTGCGACCGCGAGGGCGAGTGCGCGGGGGCAGAGCCATAGATATTGCGGGAGCCTCATCGGCAGCGGTAATGGCGTTGAATTGACTGCGAGTGTCTGCCCGCCGATGGCGAATGGGGCGGCAGGAGG